CTCCACGGTTTCCACTCTCCTTCCAATAACTTCTGCAATGTACTCGAGTTTCTCGTTCGTTATTCTTGAATTTTCTTCGAACCTTCTGAAATTTTCCTCAAACATTTTGGCTAGCATTTCTCTGAAATCGTCACGCCTGGCAGCTACTGACGAGACTTCCCCACCGTTGGATTCGCCCATTTCCGATAAATCCACTTCATCCTTACTGTCAAACTCATATGTATCGATGTTCATACCACGGCGCTCGAACTCATCCAACAGACGTTTTTGTAGTTCAGCCTTGTTGCCAGTAGAGGACAATTCCAATTTATTAAGTTCCTTCTTCAAGTCTTCCACTCGTAGATCCTTAAACTTCATCGTAGTATTATCGTAATCTCACTTCCGACACCAATTGTTACGTTCTTGGATTTTACTTAATCCCGTGTAGACGTTGTTTTATTTCCCAATACAGCTCGTACCAAATAAAACGCGGGTTCTTTCGGATTACGATTATTACAATGATTTTATTCACACAACGTTACTTTGCACTTTACTTTACTCGACGGTTTCAATTCGCGATCTGATTCACAACTGACTAACTGCCTTTCCATTTCCCCTATTTATACGAGCCTCGCCTGTCGCTACAGAAGTTTCTAGACGATCTGGTAACGCCTAGATTACGAACAATCTACCAATGCAACGAACACATACAAACTTACATTGAGTGAACAATAACAACAACACATACAAACTTACATTGAGTGAACAATAACAACAACACATACACAGGCGAGGGGGTAACAAAGAAAGAGGAATTAAGCGATCATCAATGATGACGTTTAACAAGAATTGTACGTCAGCAACAAAATAGAAAATGAAAGAGGAAATGGAAGGATGTAGAAAAATCTATACAGTAGTTGTTGTTGTTAAGTTATTCAAATAAACTGCGTAGTAGAAATTTACGTTACAATTCAAATTCTTTAACGGAATTCATCTAAATTAACTTAAATCTAAAGTTATATTCGTAACAATACTAAACGCGGAGTTTTTTCAACTATCGCAAAATTATTTGATCCAGTTGGATGGCTAGGACCAGTTATAGTGGTCGCAAAAATAATTATGCAACGTATTTGGCTCAACAACATTGGTTGGGATGATTCGCTTCCGTCTTCGACAGAACACGAATGGCAAAAGTTCATTGAATCCTATCTTGACGTCAATACGCGGGGGTAGCTTACATTCGTGTTATAAATTCGAATGGCACCGCTCAAATCTATTTCCTTACCTCGATTAGAATTATGCGGTGCAGTACTGGCATCCGAACTTCTAAAAGGCATTCTAAAATAGATGGATATTTCTTTTAACAAAACTTATTGCTGGACACATTCAACAATTGTGCTTCAAAAAACGCCATCAACATGGTATACCTTCGTAGCTAATAGGGTCTGTCGTATTCGTGGTTCCACGTTCGGTCTGAGGACAATCCGGCAGACTTAGGCAGTCGGGAGCTTTCTCCTTCGGAGTTGACTTCATCACAAATTTGGTGGCATGGGCCACAATAACTGAGTCTTGATAGTTCAAATTGGAATATTCAAAACGTTTCGCTTGATACTGTTGTAGAACTTCGCCCAGTTAAAAGTCTAAACTATGAAGATATCTTAAATCGATTTTCTTCCATAGATACCGCGTTCGGCGCCATTGCATTCATTCTAAGGTTTTTCTATAATACACATTCTGCTCATTGAGTCAAATACAAGTTTGAAGGTTCCACCCCCGCTAATTCTGAAATCCAAGCAGTCAAATTCCGTCTGGCTGCTTAAGCTCAAAAATCATTTTTTACTATGCGTTACTACATAAAAAGCCACTCAATTCCAACGTCAGCCAATTTTGTTACTATACCATAATAGATTCGCAAAACTTTTGTTGGAACAGATTCACATAGAGTCAATGCACGGGGAAAACCAATTAATGCTTGGCATTCTTCGTCTAGAATATTGGATTCCTCGTGCCACTTCGTTGATTAGAAAAACAATAAGACATTGTAAACTAAGCATTTTAGCAAAAAACGTACATGTACATAAATCATGATATCTCTTCCTACAGAGAGAACTATTTTGTCCAGAACTTTCTCTACTAAAGGTATCGATTTCGCCGTACCATTTGATATCAAATCCTTTAAAGGTAGATATTGCAAAATTACAAAAGGTTATGTTTGCGTTTTTGTGTGCTTTTCTACGAAAGCAATTCATTTAGAACCATCTTCCGATTTATCCACGGAAACATTTTAGCAGCCTTTTACAGATATATTTCACGCCGTGGATGTCCCAAGACTATATTCTCGGATAATGGTATAAATTTCATTGGTGCATCTCGAGAGTTAGAATGAGAATTTAAACTGGTATTAAATGACATCCGTAAAAAACTCCGTTTTAAGTTTCAATACCAGGAGCTTTCCAGGAAGTTTAACCCTGCGGAGCTCCACATATGAGTGGACTCTGGGAAGCTGTAGTCAAAAGCTTCAAAACTCATTTCCGAAAAATGACTAAAAAAATCTTTAATTTACCTTTGAAGAGTTTTCAACAATACTAACAAAAATAGAAGCTTGTTTAAATTCTCGTCCTCTCTGTCCTATGAATGATAGTCTTGATGATACGGTGGCGCTTAGACATTTTCTTGTCGGGTCTCCAATCCTTGCTCCCCCAGAGCCCATCATAAACGATTCTCCTTTAGATATCATGAGCCGGTATCGAAAATTGAAAGCGCTCTCTCAACAATTCTGCCATCGTTGGAAAGACGAATATTTAAAGAGCCTCCACCATCGCTACAAGTGGAAATTTCCACAACGTGATATTCAAACGGATGATTTAGTAGTTCTTCGACACGACCTCCCACTTCGTGGAAACTGGATCGCGTCGCAAAAGTCTATCCGGGAATCGTCGGTCATGTTAGAGTCTCTGATGTGAAAATGGAAAACGGTATAGTAAAACGACCCGTAGTTAAGCTAGTCATTCTGACCGACCAAGAATAGATAGTTATTCTCTCTTTACCAAGCCATCTCCAATTTTTCGCAGATATGGAAAACTTGGGCACGATGGCCCTTCTCCCCAATTGTGGATGACAACATCCCTATGTCAGATGAAGAAAGAGAGTTTGAAGATAGCAATGTGGCTTCATTAGGATCACAAGATTCTGACATAAGAAAAATCACCGAAGCTGCTAATCAGGACTCTGCTCCGGGTCTTCAAGCCGACCGAACCAGCCCATTGGCTGACAACAACCTGGTTGCTTCTCCTCATCGGGAGATTGTACAGGTGCGTTCTGCCTCAACTTGGACTATTCCTTCGGCGTCTCCCCATCGGGAGCTTGCACACGCCAATGATGAAAAAACAACAAATAGTAAGGCAACAATTCCTTGTGGTGATCGACCAGTGGCAGGATCTAATCGTCCACAGGGTCCGAATTGCTCAATGTGCATGCAGAGGCATTTCTTGAAGGATTATCCAGATTTTCATAAGCTTCCTTGTGAGAAAAAAATTTGATTTGTGGTACAAAATAAGTTTTGTTCAAATTGTCTGACCCGTTCCCACATTCTTAGAGATTGCTTCAGTTTTCGACGATGAAAGAAGTGTGTCAATAACCACCACACACTTCTCCATTCCAACCAAATACTCAATCGAAATGTCCGCCCTTCGGGTAGTAGAGACTATACGTCTCGTGCATTTAATTCGTCGCCCTCGTCCAATTCAATTTCGTCCGCTAAAAGGAAGACTAAACGTCCGTCCGTTCGCTGTCATCCGATATCGTCCGCCCCTTCGGGCGCCGTCCGTCCGATAGATCGGTCCATACAGCCCATTGTGACTCTGGTGCCTACAATGCACAGTGGTCGCTGCCATTGGCCAAAATTCAAAAAATGAAAATCAGATATTTATTATCAAATGTGTACACATGAACTCTTAAGAGGTTAAGCTTTTTAGAAAACATAGTAATCTTGGCTTCATTCTAACGGCCCACTTCGAGAATAGCATCAAAAAAGAGGAAATGTAGTTAGTTGCTTTTTTCAGTGGGATCAGTGAAAAAGTGGAGTAAAAATAGATCTGTTTTACAAAATTAAATGCATTTTAAAATGGAAATTCTTAGCATAATTATTGAAAAGTAAGGTATTGACTTATTTTTAGTGCAGTAATTTCTGTGTTTAGTAGTTGGGTATAACATAGACGATGTGAGTGTTCTGAGTTGCCTTTAAGATTAATTTTGAAAATAAAATTGGATTTCAGTTAAAGTTTTAATTCTTTTCCCCCCTGAATCCTCCAATGTGATTTTTTTCACGCCATTAGTAATGGTCCTAAGATTCTTGAAGTGCTAATTTAACTTTCAGATTTTGTCACATTTGTATGTTATGCCCAATATACTGAAGTGACTTCGCTGCAATTTTGTCAATTCTATGGTGCTAATGACATGTAAGATGTAAATGAGAGGTGTTCAATATTGTTACAAGGATTGACTTCCGGATGCCATATTAATGTCGAAAAATTTAATTACTTTACACTGGAAACTGCTAAAGAGTTAACAAATATATACCCATGACACTATCTTACACCCACAGTTCATAAAATTTTAATACATGTTCCCGACATTATAAAATATGTCATTGTATCGATTGGAGAATTATAGGGAGGCCGCGAAGTCTGGCAACAAAGATATAAAAAAGTTTCGACTAAATCATACCCGAAAAAATTCTCGTGTTTCAACAAACACAGATCTTATTAACCGTCTTCTTCTGAGCTCTGACCCTTTTATAACGGGACAGTGAACGTTACCAAGCAATAACATATATTATTAAAATCTGCATTTGATTTACTTGAATAACACTGAAATTTATATATATCCATTAGTAACTTTGATTTAATTTTATATTGAATTGTTTATTTTGTTTACAAAAACATTGTCTCTTTTGTTTACAAAAAAATCATCAAATTTGGAATTGATTTGTTTAAAAATACTTCTATTTTTGGAGGTACCTTTACAGAGGGACTCTACCTGAAGGCGGGCCGTTCCAAATAATTCAGTAAGACTATTTTTTAGGTCTTTAGAACGTAAAATGTCAAATAACAGAACAATCTAGTGTAGAAATGTGACGAAAAGTGGACAAATAACCCTTATTCGGGAGGTACGTTGTAAGGGGACCATGCCAAAACATGCCTCGACCATATCCATTTTGTCACATTTTTTATTTTTATTCCATCAAGGTACCATAACCAAAGATTCATATTGATATCTGCACTGAAAGTATTTTTGGCCGCTGTTCCCATACGACCTCGACAATGGTGGTAAAAATTGTTCTTCCGGACCGAAAAGTACCAGTTCGAGCGCTATTGGATCCTTGTGCTCCACGTTCGCTCCACGCTGACTAGTTAACTCCAGCTTAGCTCCTTAAACGTTGGCCAGGATTTATTCTGCCAACTGACTTTACAATCCTGTCACGACCAGACGAAGCTGCTCCGTGTATCCGCACTTAGCATGCCCTTGAGACATGTGGACACATCTGCGCAATCTGCTCCAGACCTAATAAAGGACAACTATGCTGGGATGCAACTAGCAGATCGCGAATTCTACAAGTCCGCTCACATCGTCTAATTCTTGGTCCCGATGTGTACCCGAAGGTTATTAAATCTCAAAACCCATTTGAGTCCCCTGGGCTCAACTTACTATCTTTGGTTGGGTGGTATCCGGTCCTTGCCTACTGTGAGGTTGCCCGAGATGATCGGCCTAAATCGAGACCCATGGTCTACAGCTTGTAGAAGGCAGTCTTCTATTGCCTAGATGGTTCATCGACCATCACATGTTTTTTGAAAAAAAAAAATAAATAAATAAATAAATAAACTGAATAAAGAATGCTCAAAAAAATTGACGTTACATCTTTCATTTATTTGTATTTTTAATCATTAGATTTAGATTTAAGTATTATAGTTGTAACATACATAGATGTTTCAAGGGCGGCGGTAATGTTTAATTTACAATTAAATTACAAACCTAAAATGCAACTCGTCATTATTTCTAATTATTTGCCATCATACCACCAAAGTTAGAGATGGCAAATTCTAACAAGTATTATCTGTCATTTTGCGTGGCAATTTTTTAATTTAAAAATACTAAATTTCTTGTGTTTTATTTTATTTTTTCTTTACTTTCTTGTTACACTGCTCCGCAACAAGAACATTGGGACTGCAATCAGTGAAATACCGAATATAAAGGGTGCAAAATAGTAGAGCGAATTGGATTTCTTCTTTAATTTTCAAGATACCTTAAATCGTTTTTGCAGGTCACGATATGGGTCATAACCCCGGATAAGGGTACAACCCGATTTCAAGTATAATTTACATTTTAAGCCATGATCATTTATTTATTATCAAGATACGTATAAATAATATGTAGGAATTTACAAAATTAAACAATTTAAAACAATTATAAACATTCTTACCTTGAGTAGTATTCCATTAGAAGTTCAAGATCAATATTAAGTGCTGCCAATTTCTCAGGCACTATACCCTCAGGGAGCTTAAGCTGACATGCCTTTAATTCTAATTCACGTATTATGAAAGCAAGGGGGAAACAGTGTCCAGACTCCCCAAACTCTTTAAAAAGTGCTTCAATTTTAGCAAACAAACATGTTGCTTTTTCTTGTACTGAGTTGGCACTATTTATAACATTCTCGATTATATGACTCCACACGGATTCAATAAGTAAAGGGTCATTGTGGTGAGAACAGTTTAAAATGGTCAGCTTACACTCCCATAAACTGAACCGATCTGCATAATTTTCATATAGTTGTGTAATATCAAATAAGCTCTTGTTAAGTTCGTTAGCAGCTTTAATGGCTTCAGGATTTTTGGCGGCATTTTCAGAAACTGCATCTAACACATTTTTTTGAACGCGGGCTATTTCTAACTGAAATTAAAAACATTTACTTTTTGTGAAATGCGATATTTGTTTTAAGTAAATAATAATGCTAAAAACATTCCCCATTAAGCTCAAACCCACTACACTTAAACCCTACATGATAAATTAATATATAATATAATAAATTAAATTAATATGTACTTGATGCCGTAAAAAAGGTAGCCAACAATCAATTGCAGTCTGATATTTGAAGGTTTGTACAAAACGCCTCACCCTTAAAATTTATTTACAACACATCTGCCATTCGATCGTACCGGGCGATAACTTAGATATATTATATATATCGGATCAAGTAACAACAACTAAAATATTTTTCAAAATATTACCGTTTTCTCTGGTTAATTTCCACTTAAATAAAGAAACTTTGCCTTTCAACCCGAAAACAGTGTGTGATTCTACATCCACGGATCATGTGGATACATAGGTATAGGTATACATTGATTCAAAGTGAATACTTAAATGGGATGCGCACCAAACAACATAATACCTTTAATTCTACAAGCACCATAAAATATATTTTAGTTATTTGATGTAAAAAATTAATCCAATACATACACTTTTATTTCATTTGATGCTCCGTAAAGTTTAAAGAATTTTTACACATTTTCTTTTTTTTAATTCTAGGATCGCGAACGGATTTGAGTTGGCAATAGTTCATCAAAACTCTGCGTAATACTTAATTTGAACAAATTTGAGTTCTATATATGCAAAAATAACAAATCACATTTTTCATTTATTTTGTAAAAAATTCGTCGAATAACGGTATTACCGCTTGTTAAACTTTGTATTACTCTCTTTAATAGTTGTACAATAACATTTATCGTAAATTATCGTTGTATGGGTAGGTTGTTATACGGGAGTGACTAAATATTATAGTATGGAGGGTATTCTATAAAAATTGCAGCAACATTTAGAGAAAAGTGTAAAAAATATATATCGAGAAATGTTTCCGTAACACGAAAATGGGTGTACAATGTCGATGTAATCATGGTTTTTAAAAGGAAATCCAACAAATGTTTATAGTCACGCAAATCAGGGACTACTAATAAAGATTTAGAGTTATAGCTTTGAGTGAACAAATTCGGGTGGTCGTGAAAAATAACAAAGAAAAAAAAAATAAGAGAGTGTACAGTAAGGGCTGACAGATGTCGATGTATTATATTTCGTATTTCTCACGGTATAAAGAGTTTGTACTGAATCCTACATGGTTTATACTTTTATTTCTCAATCACTTTTAATAAATTTCGTCTTACTTAGAAGCTCTTCCAGTCCATATTTTAAAGATTTGATTGTTAAACGCCTTCATATCATATTTCTTTTACATAATGTCATTGCAGACCATCTGTTTTTTTAGGAAATACTTTACCTCCTGTGTTGCTGCAATTTGTGTGTAAAACTCCTCCAACGACTAATTGAGACCCTGTTTTAAAAACATCCTATTTTTACCCATCCAATAATTTACAAAAGTTCTTGGAAAAACTATAGAAAAGTAATACGGAGCTTAACAAATAGTAAAGTACCTATATTCGAGGAATTTATGACAAAATAAATAAAAATGTAATTTGTGTAAAGAGTTGAGCGACACCTGAGAATTTTAATGGCCGTTATTTTTGTTGTAATTTAGTGTCTTATTTACAAAAGTTTGAATTTTTCAGCATTACATTTTAGATCACATTATCCAAAATTAGAACAATGCAAAAAAAAAAAACAAGCAATTTTACGGCAAAAATTGTGAAATCTTAACAATTATTCTGAAAAATGTGAATTGTTCAGAGTCTGTAAAGTAATATGTAACTGTATGACTACAGCTGCTGGAAGATTGCTGAACGTCTGTCTCTTTCGGTGTTTATATTAGCAGTAAACCCCTTCTGTAAGGTTACCGAAGGTTAAAATAATTAGTACGCACGAATGCTTTCGTGCTTAATGTCTAATTTATTGCAATTCCAAAAATATTTTGTTTTAAAAATATTAGCTTTTTTGTTGTTGCAAAATGCTCAGGCTTAGTCCCTTTATTGTTGTTTTTATAAAATCAACGTTTGTTTATTAGTGGAGAACGATGGTAATGTTAATCATTTGTTTAATAAGCAAATGTTGTTTTTATAAAACGACAATAAAGGGATTAAGCCTGACCATTTTGCAACAACAAAGTACTGGTATCCCGAACAAAGAAGCCAACACTACGAAAGGGTTTTTGTTGTAACAGACAAAACCAACTTTCATGGTTATGCTACTTCGTTCAGATAGAACGAAAGCGTAAAAAGTGGAGAAAGATATAAATGTTTATAAGTGCGGTTGTAAAAGAATTTTAGTTGTATTTAATTCTTTGGTTCCTCTTCTATTGAGCTTACGATCTCGCCACTTGGGTAAAAAATGTTTTTTTGTCATAGAAGTTATTTTTAAAATATCCCAGACAAAAAACAAGGAAACTGAAGAGGATTGGTGGCTCTTTCCGAAACCAAGGTATTCCCTGCCTTACCCCCTGGTAAGGGGGTAATAAACAAACGTTGTTTTTATAAAAACAACAATAAAGGGATTAAGCCTGACCATTTTGCGACAACAAAATACTATGGTATTCCGAACAAACAAGCCAACACTGTTCAATTTATATTAGCAGTAAAACGAACGTCTTCAAAATTTCAAATAAATAGTACGCACTAATGCTTTCGTGCTTAATGTCTAATTTAATGCAATCCCATAAATATTTTACTTTAAAAATTAACTTCACTGTATTCATTGTTATACCCTACGACAAACTGTGGTGTGTGCATTTGCATACAGAAATAAATGATGTAGACCCATAGTTCCTTCTGATGATCTTCATAAAGCCAATTCACATTCTGAGTCGATTTATGCGTGTCCGCCTGATTGAGATGAAATTTTCCACAAATCATTTGGTTGTCCAAGAACGAATCCTATTGATATTGGTAATGATCGGATCATTATCAGATTTATATATAACTCCCATATATATTGTCGTTCGATTTAAATTTTTTTGGGCGCGAAATGCGTTATATCAGTCCAAATCAAATGATTTTAGCACATAAGGCCAGGTTCAATTCAGAAATGTATCTGGTAATTTTGGTGAATATTGGTTCAGATTTAAATATGCCTTCGATATATATTTTTGACCTATTTCATTTTATTGTGCGCAATGTGGTAATATTCGTCAAAATGAAAGAGTTCGGAATCTGAAGAAGCTAAAACAAAAACGATCGATTTTGAATTAAAGAATTGAAACCATTCCCAATCGATTTATTTTGACATGCCTAAATATTTTGCTCTTCCAAAGCTTCCATAGCGCATCAAATTAATATGCGATTTGCATTCTGCAACATAGAAACCGTATTTAATCACATTATTATATTTCAATTTTTTTTAACAATATTTTTTCTTCTTTTTTTGCGGTAATAATAACACACTCCATTATGAATCACTTTTAAAATTAATTTTACAATGTTACACTATCCACTTCTTTCAATTGTCATACTTTAAATATGATTTGTACCCAATGCATTATGTACAGGAAACAGACCAACAAGACGAAGTTATGAACAGTTTTTCTAACATTTTTAAACTGTGCATATCGTTTTTGCGCATGTTGGCATTTATCATATTGTTCGACGTCTTTCTGTAGTATTTTAATCCAGGCTGTATGTCTGTAGCTTACGCTTTTTAAGACATTGTTTAAAGATACAAATTTGGATTCAAAAGTTAAATTCAGATAATAGCTGATTTCTATATTGTGTACAAATTTGAATAAAACTTGCGACATATTTCCAATTTACAAATGAGAATATCATTTCTGGCTTTGAATATCCAAATTTGCTCCTCTGATATTAACAGCGACTTGATGTAAGTTTGACCTACTGATGGATCTAGCTTCGAGTACATTCGGGTCGTTTGATTGGCTCTATTTATGGCATCGCACCAATATTTGTAATCTAATTTTTTAAGAGGTGAACCTTTTTTCGACAACTTTGCTTTTGGTACTATTCAGATCAAATGGTTCAATATTGTTTTGCATTAAGAGTGCACGAATGTCTTTTGCCCAGTAAATCTCTTTTTGCAAAACTATTTTCGCCAGTTTGTGAAGTAATTCGCCGCTATTGTAATTAAATATGGCTCGAATGATATAATCCAAATGGGTTTTCATGGAGAGGATTTGCCTATGTTCCATGTCGGTTTCTAATCTTAATATGTATGCTGGTGTAAAATTTGGGAATTTTAAGATTTTCTTCCAGAAGTAAATTTATAATTTGTCTACGTCCTCAAAATTTGTGTATCTCCATATTTGTGGCATATTGTTGTATTGATCTGCAAAGTGCTAAGAACACTTTCCATTTTGACGTAATTGATACATCTGGCTTATCAAAAAGGATTTCCATGCAGGGTTTATACTATTTTTGGATGAGTTATTTCTTGTAAGTATATGGATTTTGAAATGAGCTTTGGTGTTAATAATATCCCAAGATAGGCAAATTCCGAAGTAATTGGTTCTTTTTTGTAAAGCCATTTATCATCTGCATAAAGTAATATTCTTATATTTAGGTCATCAATCTCGTTACCGCCGCCGATGAATTCATGTAAGTCGTCTATAAGGCAAATAGCAATGGGGACAGTAAACATGGTACGTTCTGTTTTACTCCTGCTGACGTCGAAAATTTATCAGAGAGATCATGTCCTGTCCATACCATGAAGTTTGTATTGTTTTTACTCTTTCTATAAATCGTTTCGTTGACACAACAAGAAAACTTAGTTTATATACCGTAGATTTTCTGCACACATTGTCGAATATCGCTTTAAAATCTACAAAGAACGCATATGTTTTCTTGTTTTCATGCCAGTTAATATGTACCATCGAAGTGAGGGTAAATATATCATCATTCTTCGAATAGTACTTAATAAAAACGGCATGATATTTGTTGATCTTTTTGTTACTCCGTAATTATTATAATTTTTGGCAAGCAGTTCATAAAAGAGATTCCTCA